CAAAGACTGTTCGCGACGTGCGACTGTGTTCCAGTATGGGACCAGCCCTGCTGGACCGTATACTCGGCGGACCAGGTGCACCCCGGGATATTGGTGCGCGGGTCTGGGGCTTGCTAAATGGCGTTGACTCTGCGCCGGTTATTCCGGCGGGCGACGTGCCCACCCAGATCAGTATCGAGGACACTTATGGGCGTCTGAATACTCTGGAAGACGTTCGCAAGAAATTGGCCTCTTTGACGGCTAGTCTTCTCCGTCGCATGCGGACTGACCTGACGGAGCAGGACCTTGAGGTAGATGCAGGGCCCGATCAACTTGTCCACAGCTTGGAACCCGTGGAGAAGTCCTCGACCCGATGGCTGGCTCGTCCTCGGACACTGCGACTGTCTACGCGACTTCGGAACTCGGGTACTGAGGGTGTGCGACCGGCTCATCGGACCTCGCGCTCTGAGCCGCTCCCTGCATATGTGTTTGCCCTGGATGAAATTATCGATGCTCTGGCAGAGCGATTGGTGCATGATTCCCTGCTATCCATGTTCCGCAAATTGCACCCGGAGAAATCTGGCTGGGACCTTCAATTGATGAATGTTGCGGTGACGAACATGGTTGAAGGAGCCGGCGATAGGAAGCAGAGCAGTGGACGCGACATTGGAAAGATGTTCCAGACTCAAAGAACAGGGACCAAAGAATTTCCTGACGCACAGTATGCGGACGTGCCCATCTCAGAGACAAAGAAAACCATTGCCGAGTTTCGTCCTGAGGCCAGTCATAATGTAGATCATCCTGTGGGAGATGTGGCGTGGGAGGAAAGCGATGAGGAAGAGGGCATGCTCTGCATAGCCTGTGATATCTGTGGTGCCTCGATTCCTCATTTTGCGCGCGAGGCGCATGTTCTATATCACGCAGCTCCGGATTGATATCCCTTGGGTTAAAGCATAAGGAAGTGATTCATTGCCATGGAGACGATGTCATCATGTGTGCATTGATTCGTAGGTATGATTCAAACATTTTGTAAGCGTTTTTCTATAACATTTGCAGTGACTGCAGATGATATCCCCAGCCAAGGGACATAGCCGGATGTCAACATCATAAAAAGAGAAAAATGATAAGATATGAATTGAAAGCATCAATGCAGCCTCCGGCGCTTACTCTGTAGACCGAGTCGAAAAAGAAGGGGGCCGGGCGGGGGCTTGGCATTGTCAACAAATCCATCTTCTTTCCGCCTGTCAATCTTCCATTCTTTCATTCTTTCAATTCTTCATCATTCCTCACCCTCTCTGTTTGTTGTTTTCTTCTGTTGACGTTCGTCAGGCCTGCTGCTAGTGCTTGGAGGGCCTCAGGGATCTCTATCCGATCGGATCCGCCTCAGTCTCTTCACTATTCCATTCGTTTTTGTTGTTGTTCTTCCTGCCATTTCCCCCGCCAAGGCTGCTGCGCCTCTGCGGGCCAAGAGAGAGACTCCCTCGGCTTCTGTGAAAGTGAGAGAAAAGACCCTGATCGTCTTTCTCCCGCCACAGGGTCTTGTAACAGACCATATCAGACCCTTATCCGTTCGTTGTGCACTGGCTGCATACGGCGTCATCTCTCCATTGTCTGCCAACCAACCAAGCAAGAAATTGTGCTGTCGCTTCAATCAATTACAACCGATCCCTTGGCATAGATACAGGAGTGGATTTGAAACCCGCCCCCCCATCTTTAATAACGGGTCGCAGTGATCATCCAAACCATTGTCTCACGCTTGGCGGCTGCCTGATGTTTTGCTTGGAAAGACTCCGGGGGAATTAGATCTGACTTCTTCTCCTTACCGCTGCTGTCATCTGCTATTGTTTTTGCAAATCACTCGTTTACATTCCACTTTCCGCTCGTTTTGCTGGCCGTGAAGTCCAGTCGTTGGCGGCCATGAGGGTCTTCTCTTACTCCCTCCCGTTGATTGCAAGCGCAATATCCCTTTTTGCTTGCGATGTGCAAGGTTGGTTCTATTTCCCCTGGAGATTTGTGTCAATTTAACTCACTTGTCAACGCAGCCCGGTCGCAGTCACCCAACACCATTCAGCACATCTCGACATTAGACCACCCGACAATACAGACGCCCTCGCATCAGGTTGATCATCTGACACACTTCGACATCACCTTCAACCTCCGTGACAAGAATCAACGAGTCAAGCTCGAACTGGAGCCGAATCATGACATTCTGGCGGACGATGCATATGTACAATACCTCGATGCCGATGGGAATGTTCGACGAGCGGAACCCATCTCTCGCCAAGATCACAAAGTCTTCAAGGGAAGGAGTCTAATCGGCCGGGGTCAGGGTATGTGGGATCCAGTCGGATCGGCTAGAGTCTATCTCAAGCATGACGGTGACCAGCCCCTTTTCGAAGGCGTATTCAGTGTGCATGGGGACAACCACCACGTGGAGTTGAAGTCGACCTACCTCCAGAAGAAACGCAAGCAGGATGCCGATATTGTCGACACCAAGGGCGAATACATGGTCGTCTACCGCGACTCGGATATGTATCGCGTCCACACAGAGCTAAAGCGATCGGTGCTGGGATCAACATCATGTCAAGCTGATCAATTGGACTTCAATGTCGATCCAAATCACCCGGTTCTTTCATCCTATCAAATGGATGTGGATTCAGATCGTTGGGGAGTCATGTCGATGAATTCCTTGTTCGGATTGAGCAAGCGGCAGTCGGATACCGGCAGCGTCTCTGGAAACTCAGGGACCGTGAATTTGGCGTCGACCATAGGTGACACTTCGGGCTGCCCCAACACAAAACAAGTGGCCTTGATCGGAGTTGCTACGGACTGCTCATTCACAGGCTCCTTCAAGAATGAGACTGCAGCGAAGCAATGGGTGATTAGCACAGTCAACAGTGCTTCCAGCGTTTATGAGAAGTCTTTCAATGTCTCGATTGGCCTGCGGAATTTGACTATCTCGGAGAGTTCTTGCCCTGAGAACCCACCCGCGGCTACTGCATGGAACATGCCCTGTTCGAGCGGTAACCTCACCTCCCGTTTGAATCTGTTCTCCGAGTGGCGCGGCCAGCATAGTGACTCCAACGCGTATTGGACTCTCTTCAGTGACTGTCCGACCGGCAGCGAAGTCGGCGTGTCTTGGTTGGGACAGCTGTGCAATGCGGATGTGACTACTAGCGGCGACAACTCCGTCAGTGGTGCCAATGTCGTCGTCCGCTCCTCTGGCGGCGGTTGGCAAATTTTCGCCCATGAGACCGGCCACACATTCGGTGCGGTGCATGACTGCGACTCTGACACTTGTTCGCAAAATCTCGAGTCCTCATCGCAATGCTGCCCGTTGACATCCAAGACATGTGATGCCAGCGGCAAGTATATCATGAACCCCACGACGGGGACTGACATTAGCTCGTTTTCAGAGTGCACGATCGGAAATATCTGCTCCGCCATTGGCCGTAACAGTGTCAAGTCGAGCTGTCTCTCGGCGAACCGCGGCGTCACTACCTATACAGGTAGTCAGTGCGGGAACGGAATTGTCGAGGAAGGCGAGGACTGTGATTGCGGTGGTGAAGCTGGCTGCGGCGACAACAAGTGCTGCAATCCCACTACATGCAAGTTTACGTCGGGATCCGTCTGTGATGATTCTAACGACAGCTGCTGCTCGTCATGCCAATATGCTTCTGCGGGCACGGTTTGCCGGGCCAGCCGGAGCGAATGTGACTTGGCCGAGACATGCAGCGGCAACTCCAGCTCATGTCCTTCGGACTCGTACAAAGATGATGGCACCAGTTGTGGGAGTAGCGGATCTGGCCTGAAGTGTGCCAGTGGCCAATGCACCAGCCGCGACTATCAATGCCGCAGTGTGATGGGCAGCGTCCTACACGAGAACAACACGTACGCTTGCTCGGCATATAGCTCTTCGTGCGAGCTGATTTGCAGCTCCAACTCAATCTCATTCGGTGGTCAGTGCGTGGGATTCAACCAGAATTTCCTGGATGGAACTCCTTGTGGTAGTGGCGGCTACTGCAGCAACGGAGACTGCAAGGGACAAAATGTCAAATCGTGGATCAACGACCACAAGGCCATCGTAATTGGTGTCGCCTGTGCAGTGGGAGGCTTGCTGCTCCTTGGCCTGCTTTCCTGCTTGGTTCGTCGCTGTCGTCAACCACGCCCCATGGCTCGACCTGCGCCCCGACCTCCCTACGGGCCCTGGAACGGGCCTATGGCTCCGCCTCCGCCAATGAATCAATGGCCGAACAATGCCCCGGCTCAGGGATACCAGGGCTTGTCCTCGCCTCCGCCGCCGTATCCCGGACCTGGACCAGCCGGACCACAATACCCGCAATATCCGCCCCAAGGGCACTATGCATGATTTTGCTTTCTTTCTGCCACGCACGTAGAACGTGCATGTACACGAGCGCTGCATGATGAGCATTGTAGACTCATATTTGTGACACTTGCTTCTTTTCATATTGGGTTTGGGTGGTGTTCGGTGTTTGTCTTTGGTGTTTGTCTTTGGATGTGTGGCTATTTCATTTTCTGTTGGGGGTGCATCTTATGTTCTGGGTATCATATTGTTTATTATTTTGACCGGCTTATCATCGTCATTGTACAGTCAGGCTCGTCAATAGATATGATTGCTTTACAATTTAGTTCGACTACCGGTTTCTGTCCAACCTTGTATACCTTAGTAGGATGTAAGCTCAGTTCAACACGTTCATGCCGCTTGAGATGGATATCTTTTAGACAACTAGCCAAGTGAAACAGCAATGAGAGTACAAGAGAAGTCGACAAACGAGGAAGATACAATCGGCGCCTGCCCAATGCCCAAAACGATAGTAAAAGGAAAAAAAAAGACGTCAACAGCCTTTCAGCTCCGAGACCATATGGCCAAACTATACAGGTGTACAGTTCCACCCACACCAACAACAACCAAGCGTTGACACAAGCAGAAGTGCTCCTCTAAAGCCTGAACCCAAACCCATGATCCCAATAGGCAAGAAGCCTCACAAGACCAACCAACCAACCTCTCGCCTCAAATATCCTAAACCTATCACTTCCACTTTACTTTAAGACTCACTCCCCCAGCCCCAAGAATTCGAGGGCCTACTGCCAACAAATACTCACAAACGCCTCCTTGGTGACACCGCCCACCCCCTCCAAATCAAACTCCTCGATCATTGCCCGCAGCTCCTCCTCCTCCAGCCCGGTCTCGCCCAGCTCCCGCGCCACGCGCCGCAGATCCTCCAGATCGATGTACCCCTTCCCACCTTCGTCGAACAGCTCGAACGCCCGCAGGATCTCGTCGCGCGGATCCCGTTCCAGAATTTTCAAGGCGGTGACGGCCTGGAAGGCGCTGAGGGGCATGAGGAGATTGGACGGGTGTTGGGGGTTGTTGTTGGTGGTGGTGGATTTCTGGAGGGGTTGCGGGGGGTTCTGCGGGGTGGGGTGGTTTTGCGATTGGGCTTGGGCTTGTTGTTGCTGGACTTGGGGCCGGGGTACGCCGTAGGTCGTGAGTAAGGAGATGAGTTCTTGTTTGGGGAGGGAGAAGCCGAGTGCGCGGAAGGCGACGCGGAGTTCGTGGTAGTCCAGGTGGCGGTCGCGGTCGAGGTCGAAGAGGGTGAACTTTTTTTGGTGGCCGGTGTTAGCATACGGGATGGTTTGGGATGGGTTTGGGTCACAGGTTGACTTGGTTTTGGGGCGGGTTGATGGGTTTGGGCGTTAAGGGTACGTACAGCTTCATTAATCTCCTCCCGCTGTTCCTCCGTTAATCGACTCAGCGGGTTCGTCGTGTCTTGGCCGTGGGCTTGCGAGTGCAGCGGCGGCGCCGGTGGTCCTCCGCTTTGCAGGTGGCTGTGCTGCGCGGCTGCGTGGCTCGCTTTGTTGCTGCTGGGGTCGTTGCTGAAGTCCCCGGCTCCTCCTAGGCCTGCGCCGCCGGGGTTGGGGATGCCGCCGCCGCCGCTGGCGAGGCCGCGGTGGCGCGAGAATGAGGACGCGCTGAAGGGGAGGGCGTTGGCGGCGTTGAGGGACCGGTCGGGTAATTTGCCGGCGGCGTAGGAGCGCGAGCCGAAGGGTTGGGTTGAGGAGGCCATTTTCTGGTGGTGGTGGTGTTGTTGTTGCGAGGGACCCGGTGGGTGTGGTGGTTTGGTTTGGTTTGGTCGGGGTAGAGGGCGTTGGTTCAGGCGAGGTGGTTGAGCCTCATTGCCCGTGTCTGTGTGATTCTCGGGGGTTCACAGTATTGTGTTGCTTCTGTAGGGGTTTTGGGTTGGATTGGTTATTAGGATGTGCTGTGATGTGAGGGTGTTTAGGTGTTCAGGAGAATCAGGCCGCAAGAATGAATGAGAGTGTCGGAGGTGGTGGAGAAAACGCGCGGGCGATGGAGACGCGCAGCCAAGACGGGAACAAACATTAGCATTCAAGGTTAGATTGCCCAGTCGGTTGATTCCCTTCCTCAGTGTCGACTTGCTCTCCTACTCAATTACAACTATTTACTGCGTATTCAGGGCTTGGAATTTGGCGGCAGCTTCAGCTTTGGGTCATCAAGTCTTCAATTCGTATGCAATTGTTTTCCTATCTGCCCTGATCTATGTTCTAGTGGGATTGTACATCTTTGATGTACGAGATGCTCACATGGCACGGTTCCTCTCACCTCATCAGATCTGGATCAACCTGAGTCCCCAAGTCCAGCTCCTCCAAGAATCTGCGTCCCTGAATCGGCTCCGGTAAATACTCCTGTACCACCTCCCCATCCGCATAATTCGGATTGTACTTGTACTCCTTCCCATACCCGAGCTCCTTCATCAACCGCGTCGGGGCATTCCGCAGGTGAATCGGAATTGGCAGCCCGGCGACTCCTGGCTCTGCCAGGGCCGCGAAAGCATTATTGAGGCCTCGGTACGATCGCGTACTCTTCTTCGACAGCGCCATTGCCACCGTCGCGTGTGCCAGATTGATCCGGGCCTCTGGGAGGCCGATTCGCTCCACAGCCGAGTGAGTGGAAATGGCGAGCGTGAGCATGCTATTGTCGGCCAGCCCGATGTCCTCCGATGCCACCACAATCAACCGTCGCGCGATGTACAGAGGGTCTTCTCCCGACTGGATCATCCGCGCGAGATAGTAGAGCGCCGCATCCGGGTCGCTTCCTCGGATGGATTTGTGGAATGCTGAGATGGTGTCGTAGTGTTGGTCGCCCGCACGGTCATACACCAGCGTCTTCGTCAAGGCCCGTTTGATCTCGTCCTTGGTGATCCCTGCACGCTTGGATAGATCCATCGCGAGCTCCAGGAGGTTAAGAGATGTTCGCGCGTCACCGTCGGAGAATCGTGCCAGATAATCAATCAACTCATCATCCACCAGCTCTGTAGGCGAGTAGCTGGGTCCTTCCACACGAAGCGCCCGCTGCAGGATTGATTTGATATCCTCATCCGTGAGCTTGGATAGCGTGAACGTGCGACATCGAGAGAGCAATGCGCTCTGCACTTTGAAGGATGGGTTTTCGGTGGTGGCGCCAATGAGCGTCACTTGGCCACTTTCCACCGGCCCCAAGAAGACATCCTGCTGCGACTTAGAAAAACGGTGGATCTCGTCGCAAAAGATGATGGTCTTTCGGCCGGTCAGGCCAAGTTCACTTCGGGCCTCGGCAAAGATCTTCTTGCACTCCGCAACCCCGCTGCTGGTGCTATTGATCTCCACGAAGCGACTACCCACCATGGACGCAATGACTCGCGCAATGGTCGTCTTGCCTGTGCCAGGCCCGCCCCAGAGGACCATACTGGGCACGCGATCCTGCTCAATGAGTCCCCGCAGCACCCCCGTTGGACCCACCAGCTCCTGGCCGCAGACCTCGTCCAGTGTCCACGGGCGCATACGCTCCGGCAACGGGGCTGCTTTCTGGAAGGCGTTCATCTTGGGACGCTTGGGCTCCGACGGTAGGTCATTACTCTGTAGTTTATGGTTCGTCTCGACGGCGACCTCGGCCGCTAGCGGGGCTGTCCGCTTGCCATTGACATTGCGCAGCGGGGAAGAGTCCGTGATGGGTTCTCGTGATGCATTGCTCTGAGTAGAAGCCTTCCGGGCAGACGCTGGCTGGAAAAAGGACGGGACTGGAGCCTTTTGCGAGGAGGGGGTTTCTGCGCTGGAACTTGGCTCGTCGATAAAGTTCTGACAATCGGAATCGATATGATCGTTGATCTTCAAGCTGGGGACGGACTTGCTGCAGATGGGACACGATACCATTTTGACGAGCAAGCTGATGGATTTATAGAAGTTCGAGTGAGCTGCTTGATCGGACTGGCAGCGCGCTATCTGATAGACCAGCTACCGGGGATAGAGTCGACTACCATTGAAGCCATTGAGAAGATGCTTAACGCGTTCCCCACGCGTCGGCCGCGGCGGCGATAAGAGCCATCGGATGACTAATCCTGTCAATCTGCGATGACACATGTGACGCCGCGATGCCTGAGTGCCTGAACGCCTGAGCTCGCGCGGAATTCCTGTGCGACACTACCAACAAGATTTATGCTCACCTCAACGCAAGTGTTGGATTGAAACAAGAAAATTGACCTTCATGACCTCTGAAGTAGTGTGCTATCTTGTAAAAACAACAGCTTATCAGTCCTCATTGCCAAGGCCAAGCACGCAATAACATCCGGTTCGACCCAAAGCGGAAAGCTTGAGTTTCCCCACCATCGCTTTCCATCCCCGGACTCATCCCTCTGCTCCCTCTTCTCCCCCAGTCCCGTCTCTTTTCTCTCCTCTTCTCTTCCTCTCTCGCTCGCTGCACTCCTGACTGGCCCCTACTCGACTGCTTGCCTCTATGTTCCGTGGCTCCCGTCTCTTTTCCTCTACTACAATTGTCCAGGTCCAGCCCTCCACAACTTCGCTGCGCACTTCTGCCTTCCCCTCCGCACTCCCCCGCTATCCAGCTTGCACACGTCCAATGTCGGCCACTGCGGCTCGTCCCGACCCATTTCGCCCGGCTAAGAGGGTCGCTGGTCAGAAACAGGATGTTTGGTACGAAGCATACCTAAAAACCTGTTGTGCTGCGGCCTGGATTGCTGACCGGCGCGCAGGTCCATTGTCAATGAGGCTGCTGCCGCTTCGCCCGTTCAGCCCATCGTGAACATGGGTCAGGGTTTCTTGTGAGTAACCGACTATTGAAAGCTTCCGGAGTAGAGAACTAATGACGCTATCTTTTTAGTGGCTATAACCCTCCCAAGTTTGCTCTCGATGCTGCCAAGGAAGCTCTCGACCGCGTCGAATGCAACCAATACTCCCCGACCAAGGTACATTCCTCCACCAAGAAACCACAGCGCATAGCCGCATAGACTCACACCCTTTCAGGGACGTCCTCGTCTCAAGCAAGCCCTGGCGGATGCTTACTCCCCCTCATTTGGTCGCACCATCAACCCGGACACCGAGGTGGTCGTTACCACGGGAGCCAATGAAGGTGGGATTGCCTGGAACAGGCGAGCAAGTTCGCGCAGCTGACCGAATACAAGGTATGCTGAGCGCTTTTATGGGATTCATCGAGCCCGGCGACGAGGTTATTGTCTTCGAGCCGTTCTTCGACCAGTAGGTTGCACGGTTTTTCCCCTCTGCTACCCGTCTGACGCCGCCCAAAGATACATCAGTAACATCGAAATGCCCGGTGGTACAATCCGCTACGTCCCGCTTCATCCCCCCAAAGATGGCGCTACACGCACTTCCTCCGCCGCTGAGTGGTCCATTGACTTCGAGGAGCTGGAGAACACGATCAACTCGAAGACGAAGATGATTGTAAGGCACTTGGACTCTTCTGCAAATCGTACTCGACTGACTCAACCTCGCTAGGTTCTGAACTCGCCGTAAGTGCTTGCATTCCAGCTTGATATGGAGTAAATCAAGCCTGACGTCTATCAGTCATAACCCCGTCGGCAAGGTCTTTTCCCGCGCTGAACTCGAGCGCATTGGTGAGCTTTGTGTGAAACACAACCTGATCATTCTCTCCGACGAAGTCTACGACCGTCTCTACTACGTTCCCTTCACTCGCATTGCTACCTTGTCCCCGGAGCTCTATGAGCGTACCCTCACCGTGGGCTCGGCTGGCAAGGCTTTCTATGCCACCGGTTGGCGTGTGGGTTACCTCATCGGACCCGAGCACCTGATCAAGTATGTCTCCGGCGCCCACACTCGTATCTGCTACAGCAGTGTTTCGCCTCTCCAAGAAGCTGCCGCGGTGGCTTTCGAGCAGGCAGACAAGGTCGGCTTTTGGGACGAGAGTAGGAAGGAGATGAAGGGAAAGATGGAGCGTTTCTGCCAGATCTTTGACGAACTCAACATTCCGGTAAGTGACGACGTCGTGCATTATCCAAGAATTCTACCAACTAAGTTATATAGTACTCGGATCCTGAGGGCGGATACTTCGTCCTCGCAAACATGGCCTCTGTGAAATTGCCTGAGGATTACCCATTCCCTCCCCATGTGGCCAGCCGGCCTCGCGACTTCAAGCTCTGCTGGTTCCTCATCCACGAGGTGGGAGTTGCAGCTATTCCTCCCACCGAGTTCTACACGGATGCCAATGCCCACATTGCTGAGGATTATCTCCGCTTTGCCGTTTGCAAGAATGACGATGTGCTCGAAACGGCTAAAGAGAGACTACGTGGCTTGAAAAAGTACATCAAGCAGTGATTTAGACTGCACGACCCTTGATCGTATAGATGTGCATCGATGTTTGGTAAACACTGGTATCAACAACGGACTTAGAAGAATATAGACTTCATGTGTCGGAGGCTGGACTGAGCACAATTGAATAGATTTGCAATTTGCTATCTGTATTGTTACATGACATTATCTCCATCCTGCCGGAGCACTAACAAGTGAAAAGCAACCTCCGCTTCATATTTCGTTTACCTTGCCTTGATAATACCCAGAGCAAACATAGATGAGAAAGGTTAACACCCTCAAACGTAACAGGACGAACCAGGAAACCCAACACGACAACGCAGAGCCTAGGAGCCGGGATCAAACAATGTTGACATGAACGTCAATCATGCTTCTTCAGGACCCTCATTCATACCTTCGATCTCCATGTTGCCGGTACCGGCGCCATCCCAGCCATCACCACGTCGAAAGACCCTCTGATCCTCCTCCGCCACGCCCTCGAAGCCCTCACCGAGCATGCGCTTCTTCGGGTCTTTGACTGTCGGATGAGTGGTTCTGGCGGCGCGGAGAATCCAGTAAGTCGATTCCATATTCCTCACAACTTCACGTAGACCGCCTCCGCCCAAGGAACCCAGGAGCCGACGATACTCGGACCGGCACACCTGATCCGGACAGTTGCGGCGGTTGCGGCCGTCCCAATCAGTGGCACATGCGTGGCGCTCTCCCGTGATGTACTGCTGGATGGACACGTTTGTCTCCGCATGGATCTGGTAGCGTAGCGCGGCCTCAAGCTGCTTGGATGCGTTCGCGGCGCGGAGTTGATCACGAATGAGGCGGTACATGTAGTCAATCAGCGCATGAACCTCAACCGTCGCTATCAGGAAGAAGAGAGTTCTGTCAGCCCAGATTTCACTTCAGCCAACTCACCATGACTCTAGGGAATATTTGTATCAAAGAACATACCGAACAAACAAATCGCCAGCACACGCCGGAACCGATCCTTCTCCTCGGGATCCTCGAAGCGCACGGTATAGACCACGCGCTTGGCGCAGCGCACCGCGGTCGTGTTCTCGGGGAACCCGGCGCGCACGTAATCGGCCCAGTCGGCGAAGATGAAGTAGTCGCCCTGGCGCTCGTTCATGCGGAAGTACACCGCCTGGCGGTGGCGCTCGGGCATGTCGTAGTTGTGCAGGCAGGGGATCAGGGGCGGACCTTCGCGGACGTCGCGCGGGATCGTGCTCTCGCGGCAGGGGTGCACGAAGACGTGGTCGCCGCACACGGGCCAGTGCGTCTTGATGCCCTGCAGCAGGTGGTCGCGGCAGCAGTAGCGGGTCTCGGAGAAGGGGCCGCACCCCGGGCAGATCACGGTGACGCCATCCCAGGAGTTGCAGCGCTTGGGGCAGTTGCGCAGCGCGCAGGGGAAGCCGTGGCTGTCGAGTTGCCAGAAGAATCCCTCGGGCTTTTGGCTGGAGAGCGTACCGCCCCGGACGTTGGCGATCTGTTGGTAGTGGGTGGTGCTTGTGCTTGTGCTCGTGGTGCTCGCGGTAGGGCTGAGCGGGGCTCTCGATGTGGATGTGACTGTGGTCGGGGGAGGCGGGGAGGGGTGCGCGTGGCTACTACTGGCGACCTGGGGGTGGGTCGCTGGTGGTGGGAGTGGAAGTGTTGGTCTCTTGGCGCTGGACTGCGTTGTGGTGGTAGTGTTGTTTCCCCTGGCCTTTGGCTGGGTGCCGGTTGTCTTGGTGGTGGATGGCTCAGAGGTCACGGCGGTCTGGGGCGTGGTCTGAAGAGCATGCTGGCTGGCTGTCCACGCGGTAGAGGTCGTGCTGGTGGACTTGGGGGTCAGATCGTGCGCATCACCTCCTTCCCTTGCTTTCTGAGTACCGGATTTATGGGTATCACCTTGACCCGCTTTGCCTTCCTGCTGGCCTTCGGCGGTGGCTTCCTGGATGGGGGTGAGCCCGGTTCGAGTGGTGACAGTGTTGCTCTGAGGCGTGGTTGGCGCAGGATCCCTCGAATACGGAGGTGGAGAATCAGTTTCCTTGCCCGATCCCTTCGTGAGAGTCGACTCTTCCCCGTCGGTCTTGGTAGGCACCTCGGACCTTGCAGCCCCAGGCCGGCCACGGCAGGGCGCCACGGTGATGTTCGCGATTTTCGCACTGGCCAACAAGGGACTCGGGCAGGACTGACCGGGTGGCGTCTCGATTCTCAGCAGCCCCTCTATCGGCTCGACGAACTCGGACGGGTTTTGCTGTATGGCTTGTAGCCTGTCGATGGCCGCCTGGATGGCTACTATCTTGGCAGCAGTCTCTGGATCGTGAATCCTGTCGCCTTGATCCTGAGAAGCAGCAGCGGTAGTATCCGGATGGACTCTGAGATTTCGACTGCCTCTACTCTGAGCAATAGCGGCGGCAGCAGCAGCAACGGCAGCACTCAGCTTGATGTCCGACTTGTTGATTCTGCTCGTGTTGCTGGCGAGCTCAGGTAGTTTGTTCCAAGTTGCTGGTGCTTTAGCCTCGTGGCGGCTGCTGCTGCTGCTACCGTTGTTGCTGCTGTCCTTGTTGGTCTCTGCTTCTTTCGCTGATAGCTCGTGCTCGTTGACAGACTTGGTCAGGGCGGTCGTCGCGTTCGAGACTTCGCTCTGTCCGCTGGTGGATAGATTGCTCGATTCGGCAGCTCCTGTGCCTGCTCTTCCACCGCCACCACTACCACTACCGCTACCTCCTGCTGCCGCACGATTGGCCTTCTTTCTGTTCTTCTTGGCCTTGTTCTTTTTGGCCTTCTTGGATGACTTGGTAGGCTCCATCTTTGGGGTGGGTGCGGTTGGCTGGGGTTGCTGGGGGGAGTGGTCTTGAGATGGGCTCTGTTCTGGCTCGGATGGCCGGGTGAGAAGAGATGAGGAGGCTGGAAGGGGTGGAATTTGTGGCTGTGGATGTTCGGGAGGCTTGTCTTCAGATGTCCAAGGATCATTCGAGTCAGATGGTTTCTCTTCAGATCTCGAAGGGAGAGGTGAGCTCGATGGCTTTCCAGAGGTGGTTTCTTTGGGTGGTAAAGGGGTAGTTGAGCTGATTGATTGTTCACAAGATTTGCCTTCAGGTTTCGGGGGGATGGATGGACTCAATGGTTTTTCAGATGAGGTATCTTTGGGAGGCGAAGGGGTAGTTGAGCCGACTGGTTTGTCTTCAGTCTTCGAAGGGACAGGTAAGCTCAAAGGCTGTTGAGAAGGCTTATCATCAGAGCTTGAAAAAACAGGTGGACTCAAACTCTGTTCAGAAGGCTCGTCTTCGGAAACTGAAGGGATAGGTGAGCTCAATATCTGCTCCGATGTCTGAACCTTACATGGAGATGCACGGGCTGGCAAGCTCGAGTGTTTGTTCTCGGGTGTTGAAGGTCTAGCCGTGGCCACTGGCGCCTCAGAAGATTTACTCTCAGATGTTATGGGAGCCGACACGTCCAAAGGCTCTTCACAATCCTTATCCTGTGATGATATGGCAGGCGAGCTCACTGGCTGCTCACTGGATATACCCACAGATGCTTCAGGAGCGAGCGAGCTCAGGGGCTCCGCAGAAGGTTGTTCCTTGGGAGACGATGAGACAGATGGACTCAGTATGTGATCAGAAGGTTTGTCCTCAGATCCTGGAGAAAGAGGTGAGGTCGCTGGCTGCTCGGATGGTAGAGCCTGTCGGGAGGTTAGAAGAGAAGATCCTAATTACTGTTTAGAAGGTCGAACCTTGGGAGATGATGCAACAGACAGGCTGGCTGACTGCTCAAAAGCTGGGTTCTCGGTTGAAGAGGAGGTAGGAGGAAGATGAGATGAATCAACTGCGTTGGCTGGTGTAGTATCAACCACCGTCACAACAGGTGTCGAAGGGGTCTGCGTCGGGGTTGGGCTTGAAGTGGGAGTCGAACGAGTGGCTGTTCTCGCGCGGAGCAAGTCAATCGCCTCAGTACGAGATCTCCTGTCTACTGAGACATCTTCTTGACTGCCTGTGGGTTGTCCAACGGACTCCATTAGTCTGGCTGGACGACCCATCGTACTGGGTATGGATGAAAGTAGAGGTGAGGGGGATGGGGAGATGGAGTGATGGTTGTGTAGAGGAAGAACGTACTGGCACCACTGCTTTCGAAATCAGAGATATCGTTGTCATAGGCGGTGTTGCTTTCGTCACATCCCGCTGTGTTGTTATCTTTCTGATCTGTGTTGTGGTGAATGGTTGTCTGTTCGATCGACTTAGTGATCCCGTGACCTGGCGGTTCAGTTGATGGATTCTGACTGAGAGACTCCACGGCCTGTAACCAACTGACTGGCCGGCTCTCCAGTGCGTGGTCAAGCTCGGCCAGGAAGCTGGAGGACGCGGCTTTCTCGTCTGAGCCTGCTGCTGCTACTGCTGCTCTCTGCTTGTTGCCTCGAGGACTCTTGGCCATCTTGATATCACATTGGGTCTGCACGATATGACAGGGCAAGGATAGGTGAAGCGGATTAGGTGCGCAATCTGCTTGGTGAGCCTTTTTCTCTTTTCGGCTTCACCCTCGATTTCTGTCGTTTGTCAGTGCTAACATGTCTGGTAGATCCAAGTGCAATGTTATACCGGAAGTGTTGCTTCAGCTCACACCGCAGATGACCAGTTCGATGTATTTGTTCTTGGTGGCTTGGTGACCGACAGCTTTGATGGACTGATGCACGAGAGAAAGAAGGACGCCATACAGAAGTGTTGCCCAGGACCCTTTTTCATTTATTCACTGCAATACCATGCGGGTCCCTTACGGGGCTGCCATGAGCCATGCCATCCTGCGTTCATAATTCACTACACTATGAGATACTGAAATGCGCTGCTAAATTACGGCTTGATTGTGTGATTCCAAGAGGATTCTGAGCTTATTTATGAGAACTGTGTTTGTTAAAAGTCTTAGTTCAGAATATCTTAAGACTAAGCGATGTATTCAATGCAAGCATAACTCCTTTATATCGAAGCCGATTCCGTGGCGGTGGCTATCTCCTTGAAGATGACATCGAATGAGTCCATGTGTCCACGATTTACATTCTAGCAAGTCAAGTACGACGCGCAGAAGTAAGATCATGCCTATCAGCAAGAGAAGAAAATACAAACTCCCGATGCAGTTTGAAGCACGTAGTGAAGAGCCCGCCATCACGTGCCGCTAGTCTTGTCTCTGTTTCTGTCGCAGGCTGATTCCCGGTCTCAGACAACTACCTACACTTTTATGAAAAGCAAAGACTTAGACCATCATCTGAGTCATTGACCAAGACGATTATTGATGCCTGAGTACTCAATATCCTTAGTATCCAGTTTCAAGGTGCTCAGTTTCAGATGCCTCTAGGAATAGTCAAATGACAGAAAACCCCCCGTTGCCTGCTGCCTACAACACCACAGCCCAGGAAGCGCCGTCTCGGTTCAACACTCAATACCAAACAAGCCCAGATCGAAAAGACCATATACACGATGGCATGGCTAATTTAGTCTTTCGATCACTGTGGGGCTCCGGGTCGATTCTCCTTCAAGACTGATCAAAATGAGTGGCTCAGAGCGCTTGCGCTGGGCTGAAGTGTTAAGCGCCGTTACTATCTTCGGCCGGGCCACTGCTGCAGAAACCCATCAGATCATCAAGTCTATCTTCTCGTCTGCACGGGAACGATCTCTGCGCCAGATGAAACCAAGCTACCTAAAGAAAGAAGGGAAAAAATTTCGAAATCAGCTGCTCACCCCCATCAGGTCTTTGGTCTTTGTTGCGATCTCCGTACCGCTGTCCTGAGTGGTAGCCAGCCTCCTTTGGCGCGGCGATGGAGCCCCCAAACAATCATGACTTACTATCTTTGTCTCACTTTCGCAGCGGCCATGAATGTGTTTATCCCGCAGAGCTCTCCTGGTGGAAAGCAAAGACCCATATATTGTACAATGACTGCCCGCCTGGCTCCCCCTGTCTGGGTCTCCATTGTTTTGCACTCCCTCGAATGATGGACCATTTCTTGTGTTAATCCCTTTCTCCTATTGACACTGCATTCTCTGGGTCTCTTAAATAATACGATAATTCCCTTTGTTTAACCTTTACCACGACATACTAGACACTGCATCATAGACTTGCTTGTGGAGTTTTGAGATAACTCGCTGCTGGCTCAGGATTATCTTATTCTTACTTTCTTACTGTTCTCTATTATTTTCATTCCCCTTTGGTGCTTACTATACTTGCTTGGGATTCCATTGGCCGTCATATTCTGTGTCTGCAGTTAATCGAGCACTTTCGGCGAGACTACCAGTCGATCGCCATTATGGGGATCTTCGGACCTGCACGAAACATATTCCCCCTACTGCCACCTTACGGCGCCCATGATCCTAGTGGAGGCTCTGGTCGGATCATCCCACTTCACCCGGACGGCATCACACCCTACCTGGGGCTGCGCGCCCGCTTGTCACAGTCATGGATCAACCGATGGACCATCTTGCTGCTCTTAGTCTTGGTCAGAGTCCTGATGGCCGTGTCGAGCATAGAGAGCGACATGGCCAAGGCCAAGAGTGAAGCACTATCGGCATGTACTTCCGTGGAAACCATGGGCAGCACGATGGCCTCCATGCCGCATTATCTAGCACAGGGGGTCAACGAGGTGGCGGTGAAGACGGTCAACGCGGCCATCGACGGGCTGGAAAGCGTGCTGACGCTGTCGCTAACGGCCGTGGAAGAGCTGGTCATTTTCTTCATCAAGGTCATGTATCAGACCTATCTCTGCCTGTTCACGCTGGTCGTGCGCGGCGCTGTTGAGATCGGAGTCAGCGTCCTGGAAGACGCCGCCGATTTCCTCAACTCAACGATCAAGACCGTCGGCGAAGACATCGGCAAGACCGTCGATACGTTCGAGGACACGCTGAACAGCTTCCTCGAAAAGGTCAACACCGTCCTCAGTGCAGTCGGCACGAGCGTCCCGACCCTGAACCTCACCGACTCCATTAACAGCCTCGAAAACGCCCACCTCCCTTCGTCCATCGACGCGAGTCTCGACAAGCTGAACAGCTCGATCCCCACCTTCGACGAAGTCAGCAACTTCACCGAGAACGTGCTTCGCTTCCCATTCGAGGAAGTCAAGAAGCTGGTCAACGGCTCCCTCGGGAGCTACAGCTTCAACGCGTCGGCGCTCTCGGTGCCGGCGAAGAAGAAACTCACCTTCTGCGACTCGAACGACGGCATCAACTCCTTCTTCGAGGGCGCCACCGATGCCGCGCTCACGGCGCGGAAGATTTTCATCGCCATCCTCGTCATCGCCGCCATCCTGGCCTGCGTCCCCATGGCGTGGCAGGAGATCCGGCGCTGGCGGCACATGAAGGAACGCTCGCAGTTGGTGCGCAAGGAGGCCCACGACCCGATGGACGTGGTGTACATCGTGTCGCGGCCGTACACGGCGGCGGCGGGGATCAAAGCGGCCAGCCGGTTCAGCAACAGCCGCGCGCAGATCCTGGTGCGGTGGGCGATCGCGTACGCGACGACGCCCGCGGCGCTGTTCGTGCTGTGCCTGGCGCTGGCGGGGCTCCTCTCGTGCCTGTGCCAGTACGTGCTCCTGTCCGCCGTCAAGCGGACCGTGCCCGAGCTCTCCGAGGAAGTGGGCCAGTTCGCCGACAAGGTCGTGGCGGCGCTGGCCAACAGCTCGGCGGAGTGGGCCAATGACACCAACACGGCGATCCTGCACGTCGACTCGCAAATTAACACCAACGTGCTGGGGTGGGTGAACACCAGCACCACCGCGCTGAACGACACGCTCAACACCTTCGTCGACAAGACCATCGACGTGCTGAATGGCACCTTCGGCGACACCATCCTCTACGACCCGCTCCTCGAGGTGTTCAACTGTCTGATCGGCCTCAAAGTCGCCAGCGTCCAGAAGGGCCTCACCTGGGTCCACGACCACGCCCACGTCGACTTCCCCCTGTTCCCGGAGGACGTCTTCTCCCGCGGCGCCGCCGCCTCCATCAACGGCACTGCCTCCGATGACGACAGCTTCCTCGCCGAGGCCGGCGACAAAACCTCTAACAAGATCACCGAGGTCGTCGACAAGGTCATCGCCGCCTTCGAGAAGGGCCTCCGCCTCGAGACCATCATCGCCGCCTTCATCCTCCTGGTCTGGATCGTCAACGCCCTCTTCGGCGTCACCCGCGCCTTGATTTTGTTTGCCAAGAAGGACAAGACCCGCGGCGAGGGCGGGCCCGCCCCCATCTCCTCCCGGCCGGATCCCGGCCTCGGTCCCAGTGATGCAGGGTTCATCGATGTGCCCCTGACCAGCATGCCGCGACAGCATCAGCAGCGCTTCGACCTGGATGTCAGTGATGGTGACGCCGCTGCTGCTGCGCCGCGGTACGAGGTCGCGACGCAGACGGGGATGGGGGCCGCCGCCGCCATGAGTACCACTACCGCATCGACTAATACCACAACAACAACTGCAGGTCTAGGGGTGTACCCGGATGAGAAGGTCGGGTTCGCGGGCCAGAGGAACGCCTTACGTGTGGACGGGGTGTCGGATCTGCGGGGTAGCAGTTACGTGGAGTATGGGATGGAGAAGCATTGAACTCCTTTCTCCACTTCCTTTCGAAATCCACTTCTTCTCGGTCCGTGAGGGCGGGACGAGGTGGTAGTCCAGTTGCTGAGCCTTTTCTTTTCTTTTTTTTTTTCTTCTTTGTGTCTTGTCTACAGTTTCCCGGCGGATGATTTCTCCACTTCCAGCGCTGCCCGTCTCCTTACCTCTCGCTTTAGGCCTCGCGTGATATACCCGTAGAACGTGGCTACGATAGTGTATTCTACATTGCATGATACATAGATTTGCGAAATGATGCATTGCTAGGTGAATAGATTGCTACATGCCGGTATGTGCGTGTCGTCAGATTCATGAAATATTACCGCCCACCGCCTCCAAAAAGCCTATACCCAATTGCGAGGCTCCAACTAGATAGCCACAAAGAAGCTTTTCTCGCCCGGCTGCGGCACCACGCGCGCCCTCTCGATGATCGGATCCGCACAGCTCACCCGGATCCGCTCGGGGGTCGCCGGACTCTCCAACCGAAGGACGGTCTGGACGTTCCACTGGCGGCGGGCGGCCTTGAGGGCGTCGCGGATAGCGAAGAAGACGGCGCTGCCCATGAACAAAGGGGGTTCGCCGACGCCGCGGGAGCGCTGGATGGTGCGCAGGTTCTCCCACTCGACATCCTTCAGGAGGCTGACGTTGAACACCTGGGGGATGTCCCGGAAGCCCGGGATCTTGTAGTTGCCGGGGCCGCGGGTGAAGATCTGGCCCGAGGCGCGGTGCCACAGGCTCTCCTCGGTGGTGAACAGGCCCTGGCCCTGGATGAAGGCGCCCTCGATCTGGCCGTAGTCGATGGCCGGGTTGATGGTGCGGCCGACGTCCATCTTGATGTCGGCGCGCAGCGGGGTCC